TGTTCAACAGTTACAGTTAAACCTACAGTTCTACAGGCAGTTTGACAAGTTCTCCACAAGGAGGTGCTGCCAAACGAGGGCATTTGAACAGAAGTTTCACCTTGAGGCTGTTTTTCTTTAAATTTTTATTTATTACTATGTATGTATGTGCATGATGTGGGGGTGGGGGAACGCATACATGTGCCTCAGCATGTGTGTACAGGTCAGAGGACAATTTTGTGGAGATGGTTTTCTCCCTCTACCTTTACATGGGTTCTAGTGATCAAATTAAGGTTGCCAGGCTTGTGCCAGGCTTGTGAAGCAAGCACCTTTACCCACTAAGCCATCTCACCAGCCCCTTGAGGCTGTTTGGGGGGCTTATAACTCTTACAGGTACACATATTTTGTATCCCATTTTCCCAAGACTTTTTTGAGGGACAGACAGGCTGATTACCATCACTCCACACTGACATGCTGGACATGCCTTTGAATCCCTGTGTGGTTACTCTCGGTCCTCCTGTCTTGCCTCATTTCCCTGTCATCCTTCTTCCTTCCGAGCTGTGAGGCTGATCATACCTTCAATCACATCCAGTGACAGATGCTTTGATGTGTCCCTCAGAAACCAAAGTTGTGATTGATTCCAGCCTTCAAGATCTTCTACTTTACAAGAGTCAATAAAGTTTTGGGGACATCTGTTAGGGAACTAAATCTAGAGCCCAGCCCTGTTCCCTCTTGTGGCAGTATTCCAGACCTTTAGGAAGCAGTATCAAAGTGCCACACCCAGATGGTGTGATTTAGGCCAGGACAGCCAGTCATGTGATAGGATTCTCCCTGGCTCTGTTGACATTCATCACTTTCCTACTTGGTTCTCACCATCTCTTTTCAATGTAATACATTCCCTTTTCTCTGGCAAAAGGAAGCTGGAGTTGTCTGGTCCATCATTAGCAGCTTAGGATAATCAGTCCATGGTGGGGTGAGAGATGGGGGATGGTGAGTCAGACGTCAGACTCAGGACACCATCTCTCAGTCCCTGCGTCTGGAACTGAGAGGGAGGCTGTTATTCTAGAAAAGAACTTTTTGCCTGTTGGTAATGCCATGATGAGAAGGAGGGATCCAAAAGTTGGAGGAACTGTGGCAGTTTAGCCAGGGTGAGCTGTGCCTTACCCTCCTGATGTGTCCAAGATCTGCTTCTGTGAGCATTGCACTTAGAGCCCAGAACTGAGGGCCTGACTCTGTGTGACCCTGAATAACTTCTTCAATCTCCCCAGGTCTCAGTTTCCACACACATGAAGTAGGAAGTGAGATCTTTATCCTCAAAGTGTTGTTCAAGGGTCAGATGAGATCATTCACATAAAAAGAATGAAAAGCTTAGTGGGGTATCTGTGTGTCGTATGCTGGACCCCAAATCTCATTTTCCTATAATATAGCCAACATGAAGCAGTGAGGAAAGGGTGGTCAAGGAGTTGGTAAAAACCTCAACAAAGGAGAAAAGTTCACCTGAGAAGGGAAGGGCCCTGGGTCCCAGCCTGAGTGGAGCAGCCCTGGGTTCATCTGGCTCACCAGACAGCCTTCAGGTTGGGAGGTTGTTTACCCACTGACCTTGGTCTGGCCCTGGGGGTAGAGCAGCCTGTTGGGTATTAGGCAAGGCCATTTGTTGATGACAGATGGTTCATCTTAACTCTGTACAGAGGTGTCATTAGCCTCATGCCATGAGTGACAAAATATAGCTCAGAAGTGCTAGGAAGCTTGTCCAAGGTCACTGCTGACAGGCAGATCATGCAGGGTCTGCCTCATCCTGATACCTCATACCACCTCACAGCAGCAGCCTTAGGCCCCCAAGCATGACAGCCCTTGACTCTGGGAAGCCATGCCCCCATGGCAAGCTTCTATATGGCATTGGGCTTTTCAGAAGTTTTATTATTATTAATTATTATTATTACTATTATTTATTTTGTGTGTGCCTCTGTGTATGTGCATGGCATGCTTATGACAATCAGAAGACAACTTTTGAGAGTCTCTCCTTCTACCATATGGGTTCCAAAGATCGAAATCACGTCCTGAAGTATGCCAGTAGATATCTTTACCCACTGAGTCATTTCACCGGTCCTTCCATAGAGTTTTATCTTTGTCAATTTAATTCTTCCCTCCCAGCCTGAGTCCTAACTCTGTCCCCATAGTGACTCGAGAAAATTCCAGCTCCTGAATCACGGAGACCTGGAGTCCCTGTGTCTAAGCAGCCGTCTTTTCAGTTCAGCTCCAGCTGTCACCCACAGACACTGTTTCATGTGGACAGTCTTTTATAACAGCAAGGAACCCAACCAGCTGTGGGACTGAGCTGGCTGCCCACTCGCCTGGGGCAGCAGAGTGGATAGCTGCCAAGCCCAGCTGGGCTTCTTGTAGCTGCCCTGCAAGTTGGGTGAACAGCTTGTCCCAGTTTTCCCAGGAAAACCCTCAGCCCCAGGACAATCAGGGTAGTTGCTCCCCGCCTGCAAGTCAAGTCAAGGCCTGTCTTTGCTTTGATGGAGATGGTGGGCAAGCCTCGGACTCCCTCCATTTGCCCCTAAGAGCTATTAACAGGTTCAGCACATGTGGTCAGCAGGAGCGTCAGTTCAGTTTGTAACCATGCGATGGGAACTACAAGGTTAAGGGAAAAACTGTTTTGAGGAAACATGGTATATGTATATACATACATATATACATGAGTGTGTGTGTGTGTGTGCGTGTGTGTGTGTGTGTGTGTGTGTGTGTAGGCCAGAAGACAACCCTAACAGTCGTGCTCTCATCAATGCTGCCCGCCTCCTTTGAGACAGGGTCTCTCCTGGGCTTAGAGCTCACCAATTATGCTAGGCTGGCTGACCAGTGAGACCTCAGGGATCCTCCTGTTTCTGCCTCCTCAGTGCTGGAATTCCAAGCGTGCACGCCTTTAATCCCAGCACTTGGGAGGCAGAGGCAGGCAGATCTCTGTGAGTTCAAGGCCAGCCTGGTCTACATAGTTCCAGGCCAGCTGGGGCTACAGGGAGACTCTGTCTCAAATAAAAAAGACCGAAAAAAAAAAAAAAAGAAAAGAAAAAAAATTGAGCATCTCAAGGCCACTGTTGCTCAGGCTTTGAGAAAACAGGGCAGAGTGGCTGAGCTCAGTGCCTGGACTGTGCCCTGCAGAAGGCACCTCTGGCCTCATTCCCACTGGAGTTGCAGAAATCTGCTTAGTTCTCTAAAAAGGGCCTTGTGAGCCTTTGCCATGTGTCCCTACCACACAAAGCTGGTCCCCACTGGATCCATAGAGCTCAGGCTCTAGCCCAGACAACTGAGTCCAGCTAGCTCTCTTGCACCTGAATGCTAGACAGATACCTGCTCAGAACATCCTGCAGAAGCCAGCGACAAGATCTTCACCATCAGTCAGAGGAAACAAAGACTGAGTGATTTGCTGAGGCACACACAGCTATGAGCAGCAGAATCAGGACTCATATTCTGGAGTTTCTAAGCCCAAAACTGGGGACTTTTCCAATAAGGTCTTTAAATTTTTTTTTTTTGATTTTTAAAAAAATTTTATTTTGTGTGTATGAGTGTTTTGCCCACATGTATGTAGGTATACCATGTGTGTTTGTGGAGGCCAGAAGACGATGTCAGATCCCTTGGAACTAGAGTTAGAGATGGTCGTTAGTTGCCATGTAGGTGCTGGGAACTGAATCCAAGTCCTCTGCAAGTATAGCCAGTGCTCTTAACTACTGAGCCATCACTCCAGCTTCCTCCAATAAGATCTTAAAGCAGAAAGGCCCAGCGGCATTGCCCCAAGTTACCTGCTTCCTATCCTGATGCCCACCTCAGACCCTGCCCATTTCCACCTCCCGTTCCTTTTCCTCATTCCTCCCTCCTCTCGCACTCCTCAGCACCAGGCCCTGATGTACAGGAGAATGCCCAGCTTCCAAGGTGCATAGCCCAGACTTCCCCACCCCTGGCTGAGCAGCACAAACACTTGGGGTGGAGGGGCACATATTTCCATTTTTGACACCTGGTGGCACCCCAGCCTTCCTGAGTCAGATTCTCACAGGATGAGGCCTGGGCTTGACTATTTTGCAATTACTCCTGAGGTGATTCTGTTGCAGCAGATTCACAGCTATTCTGGAAGAGTCTTAGGTGTGTTGGTGTAACAAAGGGACCCTGGTGTGTGGAGCAGTAAGGCTCCACTGCTAAGAAGCATGAAGCCTTCCCAGAGGAGAGGCCTGAAATGTGCTTTGAAGGATGTGTAGGAGTTTCCTGGGACAGAGTTCAGATAGGAGCAGAAGGAAGTTTTTTAGGTAAGAAAACAATTTTGTTTTTTAATAAAGACACAGAAGAAAATCATGTTAGAATACATGCCTAGACAATGGGGCACATGCAGGAAACTTCAATCATTTAGTGACTGAGAGCTCAGGCAGTGTCAGGGCCACCAGTGCCCAGTGGACCTCTTGTCATTGCCTTTCCTCAGGAGGCTCTTTCTGGCCCTTTGGTCATTTTTAGTCTCTTTCTACCCTTTCTCTACATTTTTTTTTCAAATGCTGCAAGCCCCAGCAGGCCATGCCAACATCCAAGACCAGAGAGAAAAGAGCCATGGAACTGTCATCTCCTCCAGAGCCACCCAATCATAGGACATCGCCTGAGGGGACTGGGCACAGGGAGCCCATGAGGGCATTTAGATTCCAACCCTGCCTCTTAGCTGTGGGACCTAGGTTTAGCTAGGCAACCTCTCTGAACCTTTGCTTTCTTGTCCTTCTAAACAGCCTATGTAGAAGGCGTGGTTCCCTTACTTACCCAGCACTTCTTTTTTATTAATTTTAATTAATTAATGAACTAATTAATTTATGTGTGTGTTTTGCCTGCATGTATGTAAGTGTACCTATGTTGTGCATTTCCCACAGAGGTCAGAAGAGGGTGTAAGATCCCCTGGAACTGGAGTTAAGGACAGTTTTTGGCACCCAGTGCTCTTAACTGCTCAGCACCCCCTCCCCAACTTCTTATATTCTAGGTTGCACCTGATGCAGTGTCCAGTTTTGTTACTTGGATAAAAGTCACAAGTCTGTGGTTCACCCTTCCTTCCCCGAGCCTCAGCTTGTCTGTCTCTGAAATGGGAATCATCAGCCTGGAAATGCTCCCAGTTTCTAAAACCAGGTGGGTTGTAACTGACTGACAGCTGTCATTCTTTATGTCACCTAAGCCACAGTGACATGTGCAGGGCTGGCCCTCCCTGGAAATGACAAGAATGAAGGCTAGGTATGGGAAGCCCTTTCTCCTTTGGGCAAAGCTGTAAGGATGAGTGCCTAGAAGGTTCCAAACCATTCTCTTCTACCACCTAGAGCAGATAGGGCTGAAGTGATTGACTCCCTCTGACTCAAACAAAGAAGTACCAGCTGTGTACGAGGCAGGGCCAGCCCGTCCTTGTTCTTTGTACTCCATGGTTACTGTTTTAGAAAATTCTGAGGATAATTTTACCTTTTTGCCTAATGTACTTCAAGTTTATTTTTAGTTTTTTCCCTTTTGTGCCCACAGAGACTAATGGATCAAGTTTGGGTTATCAATCTTATTTTCAGATGTGGAAACTGAGGCACAGAAAAAGGAGGTCTACATAGTGAGTTCCAGGACAGCTGGAGCTACAGGGAGACCCTGTCTCAAAAAGTAGTTTATGCAAAATCAACCAGGGAATGAAAGCTAAAAGAAGATTTGGGCTTAGGGCCACCTGAGCCCCCTTTCCTATGTTCTCTGCCTCTGGTGGTCCCAGCAGGCTCCCTGAAGGAATGATTCTTTCTCTATCAGCTGAGCCAGGTCAAGAAAACAGAAAGCACACCAGGATTTCAACCAAGGAAATCTAATAGAAAGATTTGGTTATAGAAAAGAAAAAGAGAATTCTTAAGGAGACCCAGTGAAAATTACTCTAGGAGGTGGTTGCCAGTGCTAGGACTAAGGAAACAGAAGGACACAAGTGGATGGGGTAACAGGGACCTAGGAAAGTAGCGGGGTCCCAAGGCTGTAGCTCTGGCATGGAGGAAGGGTGCCACCTGGCTCTGCAGGAAGACTGAGGGAAGTTGGGTTCTGGGAGCAGCTCCCACTGCTGGGCTGTGCTGATGGGAGCAACAAACAGGAAAATAAATGCCTTTCCCCCTCTCCTGCCATCCTATCTCTGGCCAAGCCCTCCTGTGTGTAGCACCAGACAGAAGCTGGCAAAGGCATCTAGAAATGGGGCTGCAGAGCCAAGCTGAGGGGCAACAAGTAAACCAATAGAAGGTTTCTCTTTTGTCTTTTCCACTCTGGCCAAAGACCAGGTTGTTCCCCCCCAAATACCCAAATTCATCTCATGTCCTCGTCTGCACTGGCCCCCAGCTCCTTCCAATGAGAATTCCAATCCACTTTGCCTAGATATCTTCACAAAGCTTGGCAAGCCTAGACAGCTTGCAAGGTGGTGCCCTTAGACCAGTGGCCACTCCCTGGCCGGGGGCAGAGCAGAGCTGACTGTGATGACTATACCTTGCTACCTGTCTGGAGGGTACCTGGCACCTGGGTGTCTGCTTAGACACAAGGGTTGACTTCAAGGCTAGATGAGAATTTGGCCCTTGGCTTGTGCCCCTCCCTGATGCCTCATCCTATGCCTGGCATAAGAAGAAGCCTTGTCTCTGCTGGGTCAGACTCCGAGGCCTGGGAATCCTCAGCATTCAGCAATGTGGGGCCCCTGAGGCCAGTTGAAGCTGTTAGGCTCTTGCCTGTCTTGCTCTCCCGTACTTATTCACTTGTCTGATGAAGAAGAAAGAGTATGGGGATTTGCACATTAATCATGCTTTGCTCCATCACTTCTTGACTAGAGGACACTGGCAAATTACTTGTACCACTCATTAGATATAAAAACCTTGTGATTTTATAAGCCATTAACCACGAACTCCCCTATCCCTCATAGGGTACACAGTTGTTACGTCTATCACGAGCACACACATTGTGAACACCACAATATGCTGTTGCAATTTTTTGCTTTTAAACAACCATATACATATTTATTTTTTTTTTGCAGTACTAGGATTAATTAAAACTAGAGTCTTGTACTTGTTAGGCCAGTGCTGTACCACTGAATTATATCCTCAGTCCTTTTGGGTTGTTTTTATTTATTTTATTTGGAAGTAGGCTGTCATTAACTTACCCAGGCTGGCCTTGAGTTTCTGCTCCTTCTCCTGTCCTTCAGCCTCCCCAGGACCTGGGATTGCAGGCCAGTGTCATCAGGCCTAGCTTATTTATTTTTCTAAAGGGACATGGTCTTGCTATGTTGCCAGGCTGGTCTTGAACAACTAGGCTGAAGTGATCCTTCCACTTACACCCTCCAAGTAGCTGGTACATGCCCCGGCATCCTGATCATCATGCAGAGTCTGAGCAAACCAAAGGGAAGCAGTTTTTCATATGTACCACACATTGGCTATTTCTGGTTCCCTTGGGGCCTCCTGTAATCTAAGTTTCCACTCACTGTTGTTTCCCTTCCACCTGAAAACTTGCTTCGGACAGAATGACTGGCGGTGGATTCTCTTAGTTTTTAGTTTTCTGAATAGTTCCTTTTCATTCACGAAAGGTATTTTCACTGAACATACCATTTTGAGTTCACCCACCTTTCTCCTCCTCCTCCTCCTCTTTCTCTTCCTCTTCCTCCTCCTCCTCGTCTTAATTATTTTGTCTATTTTTTATTTTTAACTTCCCAGACTGTGATTTTTTTTTTCAGTCTCTAGTTCAATTAGATGTTTTGCTTTTTCTGTGGGGCACGGGTGAAGGTGCACTGGGGTTACAGAAGAGTAATAGAAAAATGACGGAAAACCTCTAGGTGCCTGAATGGGAAAGGTCCACTGTCAAGTCCTGGTGCCCAGGACCACGTGTCGAGTCAAGACCACAGCTGGCCATAGAGGGAGGTGGAAAGTCCTTCCGAGACTAGAAACTGCAAATGACAGAACCCTTCCCCTGACCCAGCATAAGCCCAACACAGAAGCAAAAACTGCCATGCACATCCTGGGACCTCAGGGGGAAGGGGTTGTGGGGAACACAGCCTCTCAGCAAAGGCTGAAACTGTTGCCAACAATGAGGAAAATCCCTGTGTACCAATGTCTTCTTATTTGCACGTCCTCTGCTTTTCACTTTGCAGCCTTTCCACTTCAGGGGTAAGCCTCAGTCCTTACAACCAACATGATTATATAGTTTGGGTGAGGTCAACAAGAACATTAAAGAAAGGCAAGAGTGTGGCAGGAAAGGACATGCGAGAATGAGGATGGGTGGGTGAATGCGTCAGTCTGTGAGTTAGTTTAAGAGCTTAGTTGTGAGGCTCGTCCAAAAATCCATTTTCCAGAGGGGAAAAAAACAGATGACAGAGAAGAAACAACAAAGAATTCACATGTTCCCTGTAGTAACAGCATGTAGGAAACTGAGATATGTTTCCTACCTCTGTATGTCTCCAAGATAGGTCATAGTTATGCATGCTAACATACCGTAACGCCTTCCGTTCTCGGCTTCTGTGAGCAATTGGTCTGAGAACATGACTACAATACTGAGAAAGGAGGGAAAATGCAATCAGAGACCAAGTGCTAACTCAGACAGACAACTACGGGAGGAGGGAAGGATGGGGCCACAGAGAGAGGCATCCTTCTTCTTTTCTGTGCTTTAAAGATGTTCCCTTCTTTCTAATGAAAGGGCGGAGGTATTCATGTCACAGCTCCCTTATACAAAATATGTGACATTTCCTCTGGTTGTTTTCATTTTTTTGGCTCTTTAGTTTCTGGTAGTCTGATTATCTGTGTAAGTTTGTACATATCTTATTCCCTGGGGTTCTTGGATATGAAAATTCATTTATTTTTAATATTTTATTATTTTTATTTTTTTATGTGTAGAGTGCATTGCCTGCATGTATGTAAGGGCACCCATGTTGTACAGTGCCTGCGGAGGTCAGAAGAGGGTGTTGGATCTCCTGGAACTAGAGTTACGGAAGGTTGTTAGCTGCCATGTGGGTGTTAGGATTCAAACCTAGGTCTTCTGCAAGATCAACTAGTGCTCTTAACCACTGAGTCATCTTTCCAGCCCTTTGGATATGGAAATTTATGTTTTTCACCAAACACAGGGAAAATTCATCCACTATGCTTTCAGATACCGTGTGCTCTTTCCCTCTCTCCTTCCCAGACTTCTGCTATGTAGATTCTGACATGGCCTCATAGGTCTCCAAGGCGCTCTTCTCATTTTCTTCAGTCCTTCACGTTCCTCATACGAGAGATTTTCTATTGATGTATTTTCAAGTTCACTAACTCTTCCTTTGGCCATCTCTACCTTCTAAGTAGACCTCTTTTAGTTTTTGCTTGCTTTTAGCGGCTTTCCAGAGCCTTTACCCAAGTTTGGTTTTTATTCTTTGTTCAGAGTTAATAGTTGTTTGTTGTCTAGTAGGGGTTGAGTGTCTCAGCCATTAATGGGCAAGTAATCTCTGAGCTTCGGTTTTCTCATTAGATAGTAATAATGATGACATGCACCTCAGGAGTTAATTTGTAAAATACCTAGCTTGGGCGCTAGAGAGATGGCCCAGTGGTTAAGAGACGGCTCCAGTGGGGCCAGGAGAGATAGCTCAGTGATTAAAAGCACTGACTGCTCTTCCAGAGGACCCAGGTTCAATTACCAGCACCTACATGGCAGCTAACAACGATCTATAACTCCAGTTCCAGGGTATCTAACACCCTCTTCTGGCCTCCATGGGCTTTGCATGACATGGGTACATTTACATACATGCAGGCAAAACACTCATACACATAAAATCAAAATAAATAAATAAATAAAAATTTAAAAAGAGTGTACTGCTCTTACAGAGGACCTGAGGTCAGCTCCCAGTACTCACATCAGACAGCTCACAACCATCAGGCAGTTCACAGCCACCTGTAATTCCAGCTCCAGGAGATCTGAAGCCTCTGGCCTCCTCAGGCACCTGCACACATGTGCACATACCCACAAGTAAACACACACATAGTTAAAAGTAACAAAAATAAAATTTAAAAATATCTAGTTTGAATTTGACACATAGTAGGTCCCACCTCTATTCCTATTGGCCATGCATAGATTCCGTTCCTACCTCTTCCTTTCTACCACAGAAGGCAAGGGCACTTCTTCTGAGGGAGGACATAGATCAGAATAGGGGAAAATCCTAATTCTAGGAGCTCGGAGTCAAAGAGGCAGACTGAACTGGTCAGGGCTCTCTGTATTATGAGTAGCTGAAGACTGATTCCACACTGGATTGAATGAAGCGAAGGGGAATTAGCAGGTGTGGGACGAGCTGCAGATATAGCACAGTGCAGCGTCTCTCTCCATTTCTACCTGTTACCCTGCAGGAGATCTGTTTTCAGGTCAAAGATGGGGGAGGAAGAACATTCCAGATTGAGACGCTCTAAAGAGGTCAGGTAGTGAGTACAAAGAACAGAGTGGTGAGGGTTGTGTGAGGAGCTGGAGAGGGAGGTAGGAGAGAGGCATGATCAGATTTGCATGTTGGAAGGTTTGTCCTGGCTGTGGAGGAGGGGCATGTAGCAGGAAGACGCCAGAACAAACACACAGAGGTCATTGCAGTGCTCTAGGCAGGTCAGGATGGGTTGTCGGGATGATGGGGGAGAGAAGGGAAGCAGGGCTTGAGCAAATAAAGGGAGTGAAAACAAGATGCTCCCATTGATTGGACACTGTGAGTGAGGAACTGACAGATGATACCAAGGCTTTTAATTTGCTCAACTACACCAAGGATGGTACCTTCCACTAAGCTGGACAGTGGAAGAAGAATCTTGTTCTGGACACCATGACTTCGGGCACCTGGGAGGTGTCTGTGTGATGTTGAGTCTTTCTCTTCTCTCTTGATTACCTTAGTTTGCTCAGGAATGGTCCGTCATGACACTCTAACATTTCCGGATTTAGTACCAACGTTGACCAGATCTCTAAATTCAGTTTTTTTGGAAGAGAGATTGAAACTGATTGGCTCTCAGCCAGCCAACAGATTGGCTCTCTTTAAGTCAGGGGAACTGCCTGTCATCAGATACAGCAAGCAAGGAGCAGTGAGTCTTGTGGTTAGAAACATGACCACCCAGAGGTGCCCTTTCAGCAAATACTAAGGGAAATGGGGGACAGTAGCCAGAAAGGGAGTTGCAGACACTCCCTAACAGATCCACCCCATTGTTAAAATGAGCAGCCAGCTTGTTGGTCTGTAAGGGTCTTGTAGCTCTCAAAGGTTTGTGGGCTCATTTAAACTGTGAACATAAAAAAGATAAGCGTCAGGATACTACCCCTTGTGGAAAATCCACATGGGCTCTAGACCCTAAAGGAATGGCCCTCCCCGAGCCTGGCACAGCACATGTTCCTGTCTTTGCAATCCTAGCTCCCAGCTGTAACTGGAAGTCACTAGCTCTACCCAAAGGACAAGTAAGGGAAAGCTCCCTCCCTCCCTGGCAGGAAAACTAACTCATGATTTTTACCTGACCCAGCCTAGGAGTGATCTGTCTACCCAGGACTGTGTTGAGCAGGACTAGGCCTTACATTTCTGGGTTGCTACTTTACCTGGCACTCTGGTTCCCAGAGAAGACTTGGAGTCATAGGCTTCCTGGCCCCCCAGCACTTCCCAATTAGGGGTTCAGCCCAGTCAGGGGACATTCAGGGCCCATCCATGTGGCTTAGGATTCCCTATACCTGTCAACCTTGTGGTCAAATTCCTATGCTCCAGCACCAGACTTGCTCTGGGAGAGTCCCCTACCTAGATTGCTGTCCTCCTCTCTCCTGCCCTGATCCCTGCTCCTCCCAGATGAGACCTGTGCAGTGGGGTCCTTCTCACTTCTGAGTGCTTAGGGCTGCGGTGCACAGGAAACTGAGCATGCATTATGGCTGGTCTTGCCTTTTCTTTCCCACAGTCTGCCTTCCCTCCAGCCAGCTAGATTCACATGGACCTCATATCTAAGACAGGTATCATAGCCTCTCCCTGACAGACAGTGTATCTAAAAGCCTCAAAAGTGGGTCCGCAGACCAGCAGTATTCAAACTACCTGGGTCAGAAAGGCACATTGTTGATTCTACCTTAGATCTACCGCATTTGTCTGTTCAGGCTGCCCTGAAAAAATGCCATTTGCCAGTAGCTTAAACTGAAGTTTATTTCTCACAGTTCTGAAGACTTGAAGTCTGAGCCCAGGATGCCAGCATGCAAGTGTACTCACATGCAAGTGTGCTCACACACGTGTGTGTAGTCTCTCTTCTTATAAAGCCAGGGATATCTATGGGATTAGGACTACATCCCTATGACCTCATGTAACCTTAATTAGCTCTTTAAAATCAAATCTTGGGGAAGGGATGATGGCTCAGAGGTTAGGAGAGCACAACGCTCTTGCAGAGGACCTGAGTTCAGTTCCCACAAGCCATGTCAGGCAGCTCACAACTGTCTATAACTCCATCCAACATCCTCTCTGGCTTCTGCAGGCATCTCCATTCATGCATGTGTGTATGTGGCACACACACACACACACACACACACACACACACACACACACAAATAAATAAATAAAATTTAAAAAAACAAAAACACAAACCTCCTGATAACAGCCATCTGCCCATATCTGAGGAGGACTGGGTTGGGTCCAGGATAGATGACCAAATTCCATAGATGCTTAATCTCCCATATAAAATGATATTTATATAGTATCTACTCACAATCTCCCATGTGCTGCAACAATTCTCTTGATTACTTATCTGTAATACAATGTAACTGCTATGTAAATATTATACTCTGTTTAGGGAATAATAATGAGAAAATGTATATATTTAGTAAAGACACAACCTTTTAAAAATTTTCTCTTCAGAATTGGTTGAATCTGTGAATGGTGAACCCATGGATATGGAAAACTGAAATTGGGACTTCAATTCGTGAATGCAGGATACACATTTCAGACTGTAGTACCTGCTATGTCAGAAACTCTGAGGTACAGTCCATCTATTTTTGTTTTGTTTTGCTTTGTTTTTTTGGGGACAAAGTAGTAGTCCCAGCTGGCCTGGAATTCACTAATGTAGATCAAGCTGGCCTCGATCTCACAGAGATTTGCTTACCTCTGCCTCAACTGCTGGGGTTAAAGGTCACCACACTGGGCCCTGGCGATTTGGGTTTTAACAGCTCTCCATATATAAGCTCAAGTTCAAGATGCTTTCTACTAAACTAACCACATGAGAATGTGTGATATCAATTCACTGTGGTCCACAGGGGACAAACCTCCCCCAACTGCCTCCTTGCAAAAAGCCAGGTTCTATTTCTGATTGGATATGTGTTTGAGTTTTGACTGGATATGTTGACTACCAGTTTAATCACACCACAGGTCCTGTGACTACTTACCCAAAGGCTATTTATTACTCGCCTTGTCTCCTCCAGAAAGCCAGGCCCACTTTCCTCTGGGCTGCCATCCTTCCTTCCACCCTATGGCTTCTGGAACTTTAAGGTACATACAACCCCCCGGGATCTTGCCAAAATGTGGATTCTGATTTCGTGGGTATGGTAAACTTGGAATGCTGCAGGTTGAAAAAGTTCCTGGTGAGGCCCATGTTGTTGGCTTAGGACCAGATTTTGAGTAGTTGAGTTCCATTCATCATGCCTCCTAAACTGATTTATTCATATTTGGGGGATTTTTGAGACAGGGTCCCATAGTCCAGCACCCACATGGTGGCTAACACCCATCCTTGACTCCAGTTTCAGGGGATCTGACACCTTCTTCTGACCGCCACAGGCAGTGGGTGTTAGCCACCATGTGGGTGCTGCGAGCCTAACCAGGATCCTCTGCAAGAGCATTCATTGCCCATCTCTCCTGCTCCTGAGTTCTGGGACTCGAACTCAGGTCTTCGTCCATGTGTGGCAAGCACCTTACCTGAGCCATTTCCCCAACTCCAGATTCATTTTTAACAAACATCCAGCATACAAGAGTTGACTCTCAGGAAAGAAATGATCTTCAACTTGTAGTAAAGTAACAAGGAATAAAAGAGAGAATGGGGAACTGGTGGGGTTTGGTAATCAGCAAAACTGCTTTGTTTCCCTTTCAGCCAATGCTGCTACAAAATCTGCCAGCTGTGGACCTCTCCTCAAGTTAGAACCCTCTGATTCCCTCCCTGCAGCACCCCTCATGCCCAGAGATGCTACAGACCTGGCAGGGGGTCTCCCAGGCCTAGTATCACAGGATGCTGTGTCCATGGTAGCAGACAGTTCATGTACCAAGTGTATTCATGGATAAGCTGGAAGGAAAACAGCCAAGCTCCTTGCGACCTGACCTTCCTGGGGGGCTCGGAAGAGCCTTCTTCCCCACCTTCCACCAGCAAGGAGCCCTGGGACTCAAGGAATCATAGTGAGAAGACAAACTGGAGGCTTAACCACACGACTCACCACGGCGGCTCTGCCGGGTTGAGAAAAGGCTGAGAAGGCTGGTCTCTGGCCCCAGTCAGGCTCTTGTCCACTCAAAGAAACTCTTTGAAGGTCTGTGTTGTAGACTGAATCCTGTGCCTTCCCCCAACCCCTTCATTTATTGAAGCCTAATCTCTGTTGTGAACAAAGCATGAGACAGGGGCTTTAGGGAGGGCCCTAAGGATGGGGTCCTAATCTGATAGGACTGTATCTTTATGGGACAAGAAAAGGCTCTCTCTTCATACCACAAGTGCCCAGCAAGAAGGTGGCTATCCTTCAACCAGTGAGAGCCCTCCCCAGACTGATCTTAGTCTTCTAGCCTCCAGATTATAAGGAAATATGTTACTGATGTGCCCTGGTTTGAGGCCTTTTATCCTGACCGCCCAAGCAGACTGAGATAGTCGGACTTTACCTCAGTCATGTTCCCAATCAGAGTCTCTGAGGAACCAAAATTGATTTCCTAGTGAGGTGCCACTCTACCTTGTTAGAAGAAACTACTGGAAAGTGCACTGTTTTTGTCTGCCCCCAGCAGCAGTGTTTGACTTGATACAGCATGGGCTATGTGGATCTTGGGCTGTTGATTGTGCCAGGTATGGAAGAGAGCATGGATCGGGGTCTCAGGCACCCATGAAGAGAATGGGGCCTGGTCCTTTGCCTGCACCCAGCAGCTGCAGCCTGCTCTTGGAGCCCCACTTCCACCTTCATCCCCTCACAACCCCCAGATTCCCTAAGTGACTCAGGATGTCCCCGGTGTGCCCTGTTGATAATTCCATGCCAATACACAGGCTGCCTACCTGCCTGGAACTCGTCTTCCTCTTTTGTTCCCCTGGAAACGCTCAGCCATCCTCAAGCCCTCCCCGAAGCCTCCTCCGGGAACCCTCCGGGAACCCTGTTCACTCATTTACTTTGTATTAATTACTTTTCTCATTGCTGTGACAAAATATCTGAAAAACCTTAAGGAAGGGTTTATTTTGGTTCACAGTTTGAGGTTAGTCCATCATGGTGGGGGAGTCATAGTGGCAGGAGCTGAGGAATTTGGTCACATGACATCTTCAGCCAGGAATCCGAGAAAGATGAGTGCTGGTTGTCCTAGTTTGTTCTTCATTGCTGTGACAAAACACTCTGACCAGTACCAACCTGGGGAGGAAAGGGTTTATTCAGCTTACGGCCATAGAAGTGCTATGACTCACAAAATACTCATGCATGGAGTCACAAGTCTCTCTGAAGTTTCCTAACCCCTGGACTTACAGCTGTAGAGGGTTATCTCGCTCTCAATCATTGCTTTCTGAATTTCAAAAAATATCCAACATTTCCCGGATGAGCCACTGTCTCAGCAACCACGTGTGGGCTTTAAAATTCATTTTTACATACTGACTCATTTACTCCATTATTCCAAGTGGGCTTCAGGGAATTTTAAGGAAAGATAAACACAAAAATAGACAACAAATCCAAAGCCAGTTACATTTGGTGTAAAGAAAATATTGAATTTTCTTCTCCTCCTACTCCAGTAAAGGTTTGAAGACATGAAAAGCCCTCATTAGCCTCAAGTCTTATCCATATTAATTATCAACAGTAATAATCAGAGCTGGTGGGTCAGTGCATCGTGAACTGAGTTAGGAACTCAACGTTGATGATGTTATTATTGTTCATAATAAGGATGGCATGATTAGATACCACTTTTACATGTTCACCTCCCATTCCCAACCTGCATTGATTAATTCTCACAACCACCCTATTTAATTGCCTTTGTACTGATTTTGCAGATGGTAAATTAAGGCACACAGAGGTTAAATGCCTTTTTCAGTTCTACTGAAAGAGGTTTCTAATGCCAGTGTCTCAGCTCTGTACCCTCAGTGACCTGGAGGAAAGAAAACAGCACAGATTTCAAAATCTGAACAACCAGGGTGTCCTAGTTTGTTTCTCCGTTGCCATGACAAAATATTCTGATCAATACCAACTTGGGGAGGAAAAGGTTTGTTCGGCTTACATCTCCCAGGTCAGAGTTCATCAGGGAGCCCAAGGTAGGAACTCAGGGCAGGAACCTGGAGGCAGGAGCTGAAGCACAGACCATGGAGGAACGATGTTTACTGGCTTGCTCCCCTGGCCCCTGCTCAGCCTACTTTCTTATACAACATAGGCCTGTCTGCCCAGGGGCGGCACCACCCACGGTGGGCTGGGTCCTCCCACATCACTCAACAGTCAAGAAGCTGTCCCACAGACATGGCCACAGGCCAGTCCAATAGAGGCAATTCCCCAATTGAGGCTCCCTCCACCCAGGTGTGTAAGTTGACACTAAAGCTATCCAGCACACTGGTGCTCAGCCAACTTTCCCCTTATTATTTTTTTCTCTCTCTCTCTCTCTCTCTCTCTCTCTCTCTCTCCCCCCCCCACACACATGGACATCAGAGGAAAATTTTGAGTCTCAGCCTCTGCCTGCCACTTTGAGAGAAGGTCTCATTTGCCCCTGTGTATACCAGGCTAGCTGGTCAACCAGCGTCTGGGAATTATCCTGTACCCATCTCCCATCTTGCCATAGGAGCACTGGGATTACAGATTCACACTGCTGCATCTAACTTTACATGGGTTCTGGGGATTCGAACGCAGGTCCTCCTGCTTTCATGGCAAGTGCTTTACCCACTGAGCCATCTTCCCAGTCCTCAATCTCTCTTTTTTATTTAGTGCAGGAGCCCAGCCCTTGGGGTAGCACCATCCACACTTAGGGTGGGTCTTCCTATTTCAACTAACCTAATCTAGAAATTTCTTCACAGACATATGCAAAGTCCTTGTGATTTCAAATATAGTTGTATTATAGTTGTATTATACATAGGACATTTCCCACACAGTTCTGTCTATAAATTGTGTTACTATGAAGTTTCTCATCCATGGAGGGTTTCAGGAGACAGTGGATATCTGCTGGAGCAACAATGACTGTGCAGCATTGTCCAATTAGATCTTTACTTGACCCCAAAGCAAATGATGTGCTTGAGAGCAAGGTGTGGAGGACAGCCAGGAGCACTCAGTTCCTCTAGCTTCTGAGTCATCTGGCATGAAGGGCTCGCCACTGCCCCTTCCATGGGTGTAAAGACCCCAGAGCTGGCTGCTTTTGAAGTAGAGAGCATATCTAAAGCAGAGGAAGCCATGATCCCAGTCCCAAAGGACTTTGTGATTTTAGATCCTGTTAAATTGACAGTATTAGCCATTACACACTTGCAGAGGAATACAATTAAAATCATACACACTACATACATACATACTACATACATACATGTATACATATCATATCTTGGCTGTAAACAATAGAAACCAACCCTGGCTGATTTATATATAATTTTATTAAAAGGATGTTGAGGAGCTGGCTGGACAGATGGATCAGTGGTTAAGAGTACTGACTGTTCTTCCAAGGAGCCCAGGTTCAGCTCCTAGTACCCACATGGTGGCTAACAACTGTACATAACTCCAGTGCTAGGGGATCTGACGTCCACTTCTGGCCTCTGCAGGCATTGAACACACATGGGTGCACTTATATACATGTAGGCAAAACACTCATACACAAAAATAACTAAATAAAAATCAAAATAAAAGGATGTTGCTTCACCCCAAAGGGATAAGACAACTGAGGAGCCAGGCTATCTACACAACCAGTTGTAAGCTCTTAAAGCAGGTGCAGGATACTGTGGGCACCATAGCCTCACCAGCCCTGCTAATACCGGCCCCTGGCACCACCTTCATTATCCTTGTCTCCAGAGACCCTGGATCACTTCTCTTTGTGACTCTGGATTTAGTTCAGTTCTAGACATGTGGATATGGTTGACAGAGGCTGGATCATATACCTGGAACTGGAACAGGACATGAACTCCTTGCCAGCTAAGACCCATAAGGCAAGAAATTTTGAAACTATAAAATGGGATCTAGATGCTGGTGGCAAAAAAGAATAACAAGTTTCCCTTAGATAGATGTGGAATATGTATATATTGGTTGGGTTTTTCATTCTTGTTATTCATGGTCAGTATATTCTATAAAGTTACTGGAACATTGAACAAATATGAACCTTTGCCCCTGTGGAGAAATTGAAACTGGTTTCTCTGAGCCTCTGGACACAGCGTTTCCATTAACCTGCTAGTACATGACATTGTTTTATGTACATCTCTATTTAAAGGCACTTTGTTTAATGCATATTGTTGATTCACTAACATTGAACTCATAACTGATGGCACTCTAACTCATGTGCAAAGGTGTGTCATAATCCTCTTGCACTGAGGAGCACTAGTCAGCAGTGTGATGCTTGGAGCCATTCTAAAGAACAAAAGCACCAACACGAAACACAGAGATGTAGAGAGTGTGTTACTAAACAGGACAGTCATTTACAGTAACAGCAGAACCAAGAGTGTCAATCTCAGCAGACCCTGCACATCAGGCAGCCCGGTGTACCACCTCTCTTCCCACATCCGTGAATGACTGTGAAAGGTCTGCAAGTGTTGACTTGGGAGCTGGGATGTGGCTCAGTGGCGGAGCTCTTTTCTAGCACGCATGAGGCCCCTGATTTCACCCCTAGCACCACACACACACAGAAGTACCCATGTGGGTGCTATAAGTAGATGTTTTCATGTAGGTAAATTTGAAATCATGGAATCTGTGTGTAATGAGGATTGACAATACCTAGTTGAGATTGTGATTTCAAATATAGTTGTATTATATATGGGACATTTTCCACATGTAGTTCTGTGTCTATAAATCGTGTTACTATGAGGTTTCTCATCCATGGAGGGTTTCAGGAGACAGTGGATATCTGCTGGAGCAACAATGACTGTGCAGCATTGTCCAATTAGATCTTTACTTGACCCCAAAGCAAATGATGTGCTTGAGAGCAAGGTGTGGAGGACAGCCAGGAGCACTCAGTTCCTCTAGCTTCTGAGTCATCTGGCATGAAGGGCTCGCCACTGCCCCTTCCATGGGTGTAAAGACCCCAGAGCTGGCTGCTTTGAAGTAGAGAGCATATCTAAAGCAGAGGAAGCCATGACTCCAGGCCCAAAGGACTTTGTTAAGAATGAAGATCTTGGGCAGGGGAGACAACTCAGCAGTTAAGAGTACTAGCTACTCTCACAGAGGACCCAGATTCAGTTCCCGGTACCCATGTGGTGGCTCACAAGTGTCTATAACTCCAGTTCCAAGGGATCCAACACCTCTTTTCTGGCATCCACAGGCACTGTGTGCATGTGGTGCACGTACATACGTGCACGCACAACACTCATATACATAAAATAAAAATAAATTTTTACAAATTCAAAAAATGAGAGTCCCCTGTTTGGGATAAGAAATGTGCAAACAGGCACAAGGATCCTGAGAACATCAAGTTAGTGGTCACGTATTCAGTGTTGGGGTCTGTAGAATGAACCACCTTTAATT